AGACCTATACCGAGAAATTAAATCCAAAATACAGGCTAGTTTCGGTTTCGCTCGAGAATTAAAACGCGCATGCTTGCGTACATATTGCGCTAAACACTGTTCTTGTTTTCAGGGTAAACAGGTGACCTGCGCCCATAACACCCTAGCTTCCTCGTATTACCAGAAATAATTTGTGTCGCTCAGTAAAGCCAGCACACTAGCCAGGCTCAACAGCGGCACGCATCTCCGACCCTCACTATAACCGCCATTTTGGAAAATGAGTGGCGCCACCTGTAGTTAGTTGGAGTCGCGAATACTCGAAAACAACGTGAAGGCCAGTTACCGTATATCTCTACAGACCTCGACGGGCCTAAGTACAATAAACGGCGAGCCTCTATGCGAAGTGGCGGGTGAACAATTTGGAGAAGAGCTGCAGCACCCGAAAGGAAGTTGTTCTCGCGTAAACTGAACAAGCTCCGCTTTGGCTTGCATTTTTAATGGCCAACCTCCTGCGCCGTTTCCTCGCCTAAGCTTGGCCGCTTGTTCAGTACGCCATCGAACAGAAGCCTGCATCGGCCACCTCCGCCTGCTTTTTGTTTTTGTTTAAGCACTAGCGTCCCCTAATGGACAAGTTTGTATCGCCGTTCAACAAAAGCTTGCTCCAGCGGAACCCTATCTTATTCGGGAGCAGTTTCTGCCAAGGGACGCCGCACATGCAGAGAAAAAGAAAACAAGAGTATAAATTGGAGCGAGATTTTGGAAAAGCGATTTCTCCCTATAGTTAGGTTCGCAACATTAGTGTGCTCGCTGAAGGTATTTTTATTTATTGAGGTCACTTTCACATATCGCAATACCAGCCTAAACTCTAGATACATTTTATATGGCGTCACCGTTTCGTTGAAATAAAATCGTCCTGAAATCTTCTTGTCGTAATATTATCAAACATTATAGAATCAATTAAAAGCCTTGTCGTACTAGCAATTACACTATTTTAATGCTAATGTTCCATCATTCCTCTTTTTGTGCAATTTATTATGTAACCCGGGCTTCAGAGGGCAAATATTTGTCCGCGCGTCATACATGTGATGCAGGTTGCGTAGCCAGTAATTCTTTTGGGGAGGGGGGGGGGGGGGGTGGGAGGAGGAGCTGAGGTGCTGGGATGTCCATGATTTGGGGCGCGGGGATAAAGGAGGGTTGAGTGGATGTGTATATTTTAAGGCCAGCAGAATTTAGGGGGGGGGGGGCTGAAGCGCCATAAGGGCTTCTCATGGCTACACCACTGGTGTCATCTCACAGAGATGATGAGTTTAATACTGGAACGTCAACATGTCGCACAAACGTATATACTTACTCCTACATACCGGGAACACCAAACAGTCAGAACCACCCAACCTTCTTTGCTGCCATTTCTGAAGCGACATGCTTCAAGAAGGTCGCTAACCATTCTATCTGAAAGAACCTCCTTTCTCTGCAAGGCCTCCTAAACCGGGGAGTATTTAAATAGATGAATAAGCTAAGTCTTTTCTCTCGCATCCACAAAGCGAGATGTAATGCAAAACAAATTGTCAAACTTAGGACCTTTATACAGGCGTCCGTCGAGCACGGAAATTTCGGTCTGCCTCAGTGCGATGCCGTGTTTGCGTTAATTCTTTCTACATGAGTTTGGTGTGCACAACAGTTTATCCTTTTACGCTAAAGTAAGCTACGAAACCAGGAGAGTCCGGTACAAACGATTTCAAAATTTGATGACGCTACAAATGCTACCTCGTAAAAACATATATATATATTTGTAAATGATCCGCCGTTGCTTTTCCCCTGAAACGAATCAAAACACACTCATCTTTGGTTTTGTAGACGTAGACGTGCTTTTTTTTCTTAATAAGGCTTAGAAGAAGAAAAAAGTGGAAGCCGTTTACAACTCCCTGTAGCGCTGAATTGGAGCGCAGCTCTTGAGGAGGAGTAGGGAAGGGTACTGAGGGGGGGGGGGGGGGGGGTCACATGACCTCGGGGAGAAGGGGTCACGTGACCGCGGGGGCGGGGAGGTCACTTGACCCCCCACGAGGTTTCCCCGGGGTCACGTGTTCCCCGAGGTCACGTGGCGGGGGGGGGGCACGTGATCTCCGGGTGGAGGGAGGGTCACGTGACTTGGGGGGTGTCGTGTGACTTGGGGGTCACGTTACCTCAAGGAGGGGGGGGGGGTCCCGTGACTCCCAGGTCACGTGACCCCCCAGAGAAATTTTTCCGCTTGATTTAGCGGCGAAAATTTTCCGCTAGATTTAGCGGTGAAATTTTTTGGCTAAATCTAGTGGGGAAATTTTTCCGCTAGTTTTAGCGGGAAAATTATTCCGCTAGATTTAGAAATTTTTCCGCTAGATTTAGCAGGGATTTTCGCTAGAGTTAGCGGGGAATCTTCCTGCTAAATTTAGCGGGGAATCTTCCCGCTAAAATTGGCGGAAAAATTTTCCGCTAAACTTAGCGGGGAAATTTTTTCCCTAGATTCAGCGGGGAACCTTTTCTGCTAGATTTAACGGGGAAATTCAACCATAAGGTGCAGTGCGGTTACGCCGACGGCGACGCCGCTCAAGCCGGAAACAGGCGCCTAAGAGCTGCGCTCTATAAATGATAGACGCTTAGAATACCCAGTAACGCCAAATTAGAGCGCAGCTCTTGAGGAGGAGGGAAGGGTACTGAGATGAGGACGTACCCCTCCTGCTTACCTCCTCATCTTCACTGCCACTCGTCCTCCCCTCCTCGTCCTCCTCCTCCCCTCCTCCTCCTTCTCCCCCTTCACCTACTCTTCCCCTCACCTTTCAAACTCCTCCCCTCCTCCTCCCTCCTTTTCTCCTCCTGATCCTTCCTCCTCCACTCCTCCCCCTCCTCCTCACTGCTCCCGTTTTTTTTTATAAATCTTCGAATTGAGTAGCAGGGCGTTTCTCAAGAACAAGTAAGATACTACACCTAATTTGAATAGATTTTATGTCTCAGATAACATAACATGAGTATTTTTGTTCCCAATTGTATATTTTTTAAGGTATACTAAACTCCAAAAGAAGCTTTTTTTGTGTGTGTGTGTGCAATATTTAATAATAATAATAATAATAATAGCTTTATTTCCAACAATCAGGTACAGTGTTGGTGGGGGCTTGAGAGAAAAGCTGCTGAAACAGCTTGACTGGGCCCGAGCCCCCAGAAATCAGCAGCGGAAGAAAGAAAAAAAAAGAAGTTAACAGCAAAATCACATCATACATCAACAAGATGTTCAAAACAGGAAAGTCACAATAGCAGTACTACATATATAACAAAAAAATGAACATATAAACATGCTACTCACAATTGATCTGTTTGGCTAAGAATTATTATGTTCCTAAGGTTATCTGCAGATATATTTTCAAGCTCGATATGTTGCGCACAAAAATAGTTGAGGGTGGTTGGAAGAGTAAACGCCGCGGTTTGAAGGCCGTAATTAGTTCTAAAAAATGGGACTACCCAAGGTTCTGTGATTCTTGTTGAATATGCATACACTTTTTCTTTTAAATCAGCTAAGTTCACAAGATGCCGTACATTCATACTCATTTTAGCTTTATATTTTAACACATAGGCGATATCGATACAAGTTAAAAATTTTAACTACATCTAGCTCGCTAAATAATTTTTCCGTCGGAAATTCCGGCGAAACATTGCAAATGCTTCGTAGTATATTTTTTGTAATAAAAATATCTTTTGTAGATTTGTACGATTGGTTGTTCCCCAAACTAAATGGCCGTAATTGATTTGTGAGTAAAATAGCGAGTTATATATTAGCAACTTTATTTTAAGAGGCAAAATATCTTTGTGACGATACGCCAGTCCAACAATGCTAGACAGTTTTGATGTAACATAATTTACATGAGCATCCAATGACATGTTCTCTGAAAAAAAAGACACCTAAAGTTTTAAATGCTGGTACCACTTCTATTTTAGAAGAATCAAACATTATATCCTCGTCTATGGTAACAATTTTACCCTTCGGACGAGACAAAACAGCCTTTGTCTTATTCACATTTATTTTTAACCCATTATACCTACTCCATGTATTTAACTTTTCTAGCGTGACGTTTGCGTTCTCAACAAGCTCTGCGGGGCTATCTCCATTAAGCAGCATGCTCGTGTCGTCTGCGTAGATAATAAATTTTGTTGAATTGCTTATATTTACGATATTATTTATATAAAGATTGAATAAAAAAGGACCCAAAATGCTTTCTTGAGGAACCCCTGATTTGATTGGCTTTACATCGGAAAATTGACCAATGATGTCGACATACTGCTGGCGGAAAGACAAGTATGATTGAATAAGAAGCGAAAGCTGACCCCGATAGCCATATATTTCGAGTTTTTTAATTAGAAGGTTATGATCGAGAAAATCAAAAGCCTTCGTGAAGTCAATAAATAAGCCGAGAATTAGTTTTTTTTATTTTCAAAACCTTTAAGAGTGTATTCTTTTTGAGTGAGAAGAGCGAGTTCAGTAGATCGTTGCTTGCGGAAACCGAACTGAGATGGGGTGATTAAGTTATGACTATCTGCAAATAATGACATTCGAAGGAGCAGCATTTTTTGTTTGCATGGTTTGCAAATTTCACGAATCTGATTTCAAGAAGTTTTTTTTTTATATTGGGTCTACTTTCCGAAATATGGGTATCGGAATCGTTTCTCAGAAAACAAAAATGGGTTAAAAACGGTTTATACTAATATTTTTCGAAAACAAAACAAAAGCACAGAAACAAAATGTGAGAGGCAGCACATAATGAATCGTCTTGTCCTGTGCCGCCTCTCATTTATGTATATTTTTGGGTGTAAATCCTCGGTATGAGTCAGATCCAACTAGATCAAGTTGCCGTCTTCAAAAAATGTTTTCGGTGAAAGTTCATTTCCTGGCATTAGTGTCCCATCTTAAAAATACATCTCCTGGGAAAAAAAAAAAGATGCGTAGACCACCATCCATATCGCGTGTCTCTTGCTGAACGGCGCTTGTTAAGGGGACTTACCTCATCAGACTCCTTTGAGAGCTACTGATTAAAAACCAACTGCCTCAAAAACTGTTCTGCGGCTTCAAAACGTTGTTTACACAGCCCGGTAAATATTCTTAACAGCAAGGGTTTCTTAGTTTTTAGTTATAAAAATCCTACGTTGAAGCAAAACATGTAAAGGCGAAACCCCCTTTCTCCATAAAAATGCACTACTAAGCCGTTTAGGAAAAAAAAAAAAATTTTTTAGAAGTGAAGCACTCTAGTTAATATTAAACTAATTGATGTCGTGGAGCTTGTTATGTAGATCAAAGATGTCAAATCATATTGTAAAGAAAAAGACTTGCGGAGTTGGTCCTAAAGGTCCTTTCACACTTTAGCAACCAAGTACGACCGAGTAAGACAAGAGCGGTTTTTAAGCCTCTTGCAACGTCTTAGGACCAGATCCACTGCAGCGCATCCGGTCCTAAGAGATCGCAAGAGGCTTAAAAATCGGTCTGGTCTCTCTCGGTCTTACTCGGTCGCAAGACTGTGAGCGGGCCTTAAAGGAACCATGAAGGCAGCTTCGAACCTTTATTTGACGACTGAAATCGATGTAAGGCACGTCTCAGATACTGTTGACCAAGTTCTAGCCCGAACAGAAGTTTGGGTGCCGCACAAATCAAGCAAACAGGCGCGGTAATAATCGCGCCGGGAACGATGCCTGAGAAACCACCTAGGCGGCGGCAGAAAGGTGAGCTGTGCGCCGTCGAAGCGTGGCGACAACGGGCTCCTCGTCTGGTGATTGGTTCAAACGACAGACGCGCTCTTGGTTTGAATTTCGGTGGTGAGATGTGATGAAAAAAGTTCATTTGAACGTTGGATAATCTATTAAAGTTGTAGTTGGAAATTAATAGGTTTCATACCGTGTATAAAAGCATAATCTCTTACATTGGACTTACATTGGGAACATCACATCACCTATATTTGTCAAAAGCTGTCATATGCTTGCAACATTCTGCTGAGGGCTCGACAGTGCTTCGCCCTCCTCAACCTTAAAAATTATTTACTTCTCGTTATTCCACTCCCATTTAACATACTGCACAGAAACGTAGGGTAAAAGCCAATGACAGATATCTCACGCCGATCATTGGTTTACAAAAAAGGGCAGTTTGAATTATATTTGCATCGAGCATTTTATTTGATCACCTCAGAATTCTTCCACTTCATAAACTAGTAAAGTGTAAAATTGCCACGCTGTTTCACGAAATAGTGAAGACAAAGCACCCATTTCCTATAACTATAGTTCTTGAAGGTTTCAATCAAACTAAGGAAAATTTGTCTGGGCACTTTAACCTTCCACAATGCCACAACGTTCAGGGGGAAGGCTAATTCAATTCTGTGGAACAAAAATCTGAAAGGCACTACTAAACGACCTTCGAAATTCGCATATTTTTAACAATGCACTGAAGCACTATCTGCTCTTGTCTACCTAGATCACCTTTCATCCTCATCATCGTTTCTTTGGTATTGGTAACCGAGACTAGCTTCTAATTTAGTAACAAGATTAGGGGTACTTTTGTTGCTTTCTAATGACATATGCCTTTCGCTCTCTGCTCTTGTGATACTTTGTTAATGAGCCTGAACTAGCCTAGCGGCTATGGGTTCATAGGCTTTTTCCAATGCTTTGCATACCTTTTTTGGTCAATAAAATTGAATTGAACTGAACCTCCCAAAGGTCCAACACCACCTGCGTGTTCGGAGCCTGCAGGCATGAGCGAAAACGACGACACATTTGGTGACTGTGGTGACTGACCAGCCTCCCCAACCAGCCCACCTAGTTCAGAACCACCTAGCATGTGTCAAAATGATCTGATCTATGACTCAACCCATGAACCATCGTACGACAACAGTTTTGAGATGTGAGTATACACCAACCCATGTTTACAAGCAAACCGGAGGGCCCCTAGTGGACGCCACCGGCACCGCGCATGCACGATGGGTGTGGGCAAAAAGCTCACCGTCGCCCAAAACCAAACCATTGTAATGCGATGTTGTCAGCGTCAGTGTGAGTCCCCCTGCCCTTTTTTTGCATTCAAATCATTGATTCTACGTCTTTTTGGAAATGTGACTACTTGAGCAACCTCAGCGAAATTAACGAAGCTCGTTACATCGTAAAACTTCGCGTGAATAATGCGACATGCGGCGATTCATTCCGCGTGGATGCCGTAGAATGTACGCTAAAGCCTGTTTCGCATGAGGAGATTCCGCTCGCAATTTTCAGTCGCAACGTCGCTCGGGCTGCAAAAGCGTGAACTGTAGCTGAGATGGTCGACGTCGATACTGAAAATCGCAAGCAGAATCGGACCAAGTGAATCAGGCCTAACAAGTTGGTGATGGCCACTGGCAACAATGATCAACATCTCCTTGTATCTACTGTTTACATCAAGCCTGCCTACCAACCTTCAAACTGAAGTCTTTTGAGGTCTGCACTTAATTCTTAGCGCAAGTACCGAGCCAACATTCGGTCTACGGACCGGTGTTGTCTAAAAGAGCAGACGACAAGTAGAAGCGTTTGAAAGAGCAGGCGACAGTTCGAACGATCAGGCGGCCGTTTGAACTTGAAGACGCACTGAATGTAGTCCGCAGGTGGTCCGTGCAACTTGACCGGTTTTATTTATTTATTTATTTAAATACCTAAAGAACCCTGAGTCAGGGTATTACATAAGGGAGTGGGTTAAAAAAATAGCGAGGTTAACATTTGGCGGAACGAATCGATGTCTTGAGCAAAGATGATGGCTTCAAGCAGGCCGTTCCAGTTCACAGATGTCGCCGGGAAAAAAGATTTAAGGAATGCTGCATTTCGAGTGAAAAAGGCCCACTTTCGCCTAGTGGCCAATGCTAGGTGATATGCGATTTCCGGCGTTCATGTTAGAACAAAACAAACAAATCTGATGACCACAAGTATCCATGAATTCAACGCAAGGCGCTTCCCGCCCAAGCAGTCATGATCCGACGACGTCTGCTTTTCCCTTTTCACGCCACATATACACGTTCTCAAATGAACTGAGCACATGAAAACTGACCTTCACGCCGTTCTCGACTCTTTTGGTACAGCCCCAGTGGTGGCGTTTTGACGAGAAGGCAGGTTTTTGCCTGGTCCCTTACAAAACAATGCAGGAATACACGTCTCACATGGGGAGTTCCTCCCACAGCCCCAGACCCGAAGTTGAGAGGTTTCACCGATAGGTGAGCTGCGTTTTACAACTTCCTGTTACTTTTAAATTTTGTTTTACCATTAACAAACGACGACAACGAGCTCCAAGCCTGTGCAAGCATGGTTCTGAAACCTCCAGATTGCAGTTTTCAGAACTTTGCTTAGACAGGCTTGCAGATCGTCGTCATTTGTCAACAGCAAAACAGAACTTTTTAAGAAACCGGAAGTTGCCAAATTCCACTCACCTGCTTGTTAATTTGCAAAGGATTTGTAGTGACTAACGAAATAGAAATGACTAAATAGCTTCTTTGTTTGCCCCTCCTTCGGGTCAGCATGCCGCACTTAGTGGTTTTCGACTTGTTTGTCGTCAGAACACATGCACCACGGCAGGCACGTAGCCAGTATTTTCTTTTTTTTTTGGGAGGGGGGGGGGGGGCCGCCCATGAAAAAATGCTCTATGAGGGGGAGGGAGGAGAGGAGGTCCCAGCAAAATCGAAGATTATTTTTTTTTCGGGGGGGGAGGGGCGGGCCCCATGGGCTGCCCCCCTGGCTACGTGCCTGCACCACGGTATGTAAACAAAGCATGTTTAAACTGAAAAATGGGCAACATAAAGACAGCCAGTTCTACCTATCCTTTTCAGGGTTGGGGTCGTTCTTCGAAATTTGTTTTGCTTACTTTTGCAGGGATGACGAAGAAACCGAACAAGGCCATCCTTAGGGTGAAAACAAGTACATTGTGTATGAAAGTTGCCTCGTAGAGTGCTTCAGGCTCTGCATGACATGCTATGCACCGTCGAAGCCATCCCTCCATCTGAGTGGAAGCTGCCTCACTGTGACAACCCTCTGCCCTAAGAACCACTCGCACACCTGGTCCAGCCAACGATACGTGGGACGAAAACCGGTTGGAAGTGTCGATATCGCACCTGTCCTGCTGTTTTCCGGCTCTAGCCCTGCACAAGCTCTCAGAATGATGCGCCTCATGAATATTAGGTTCAACTCGAAACGAAGATTCCAAGACTATGAACAAGCTTACCTCCACCCTGCTGGGCAAACGGCTCGTAGATCCCTTGTCTCATTCAAACATAGTGTAACTTACTCTGCAGCAACACTTTCTGCAGTGTGCCGGCATATGCTGTGGCCGCATACCCTACCATGAGTGATGGAACATGTTCTCTCATGCAAGACGCATTGGGCACTTATTTTTGGTGACTCTTGTCCTTCTCCCAGATGCAGAGATCAGTAGCTTGTTTCACATTTATGCTTTTTATCATACAGAACTGCTGATGCACTTTTGTGTAGCCTCATTATCATACAGGTTCCTTTAACTGCACTGTTACAGCTGCCACAGCCTTTTTTTCATATCTCCAGGTTTGGGAGGGGCAACGAGACAAGGATTTGACAGCCTTGCGGGAGAGCCCGTGGATCTGTCAGGAGATGGACGATGTGATTCTCCGGGACACAGTGCTAACTACATGACGCACAGCTTCCACTCTCATCGATTGGGCAAGATTGTCCACACTGAACTGTTTCAAGTCAAGGAAGTAACAACCCTCACAATAATAGGAAAAACAGTTGGCTCAGAAAACACAGGAACAAGACAAAGATTCAAAGTGTGCATTACTTTTTGACCCCTTCCATAAAGAACTTCCTTCTTTTTAGTGTCCCGAAGTAAGTGCAAGCAGCAACATGGAAAAGGAAGGCTGCACACGAGGAATTGCTTTCCTGAAATCGAGGAACATCCTGATTCGCTCATTCACGACAGACAGGCACTCGAGTATAAAGGCCTGCATGAGAATACACCAGCCCACAAACCTGCATCTGTTTGAAAGG